AGCACTAAGGAAGTAGCAGGTGGATTTCTCAACAAGTGGGAAGAAAGCAAGAGTGTTCTAGCATCTAGGGCGTCAACAGCAGAGCCATAAAAGGCACGGAGTCTCACTTTATTCTGTATGCATTCAAATCCTGAATCCTAATAAGATTCACAGATGCGGAAACTCATAAGGCTTAGGGAAGAGTAAAGGTAGAACATGAAATGTTTTGCATAATACAGTTTTTATTAAGACCAAGAAAATTCTAGAAAAAAAGAGAAACACAGTTCTATGAAACCATATTTATGTGGTTTTCTTAAGGCAACCAAAAATATGCATTGTGTTGATGATGGTCTAAGATAAATCATTAAAATAGACATGCTCCCTAAAAAGTCAGTCAGTATCTGCATGAGATTAAAGTTCAAAATGAATACTTAACTAAGAAATCAAAACATAAAAGATAAAAAATTCTGAATATGAAACTTTTTCCATGTTTGCTTTATTGTTTTCACTCTTTGAAGAAATTACTATATTATTATGTCCTGGCTTATTAGTATATCTCTAACTAAAAAATACTACTTTACAGTACTTATCAGAGTCTCAAAGTAGAATTTGCTCAAGTACAAAGAGCATACTTGAGGTCTTCAGTAAAAGAAAACTTTCTAAATACACTAACAATTTACCTTTACTTTCTTCTAGCAGTGGACAGATGATTTGGTATCTCCCACAAAAAAGAAAATACTCAAGGAGTTATGATTCATTTCTCTCTATGGTCATAAAAAGTATCTCTTCTAAGATTTCTTTCCATCTGTAAAGTTATAAATTCTTTAGTTTTCTATTCTTTGAGTCAAACAAAACAAGTCCTCATAGGATCCTTACAAAACACAATCTTGGCTACGTTCTGAGTCTTTGCTAAGTCCTATACAATATACTTAAGGTACAGTGTACGGTATGGGTCTAAAACGAAAGACTGAGCTATAATGAAAGAAGGCAATTTCTTTGTAGCTTGCTATGAATTATAGATCATTTTATGCATTAGAGTATTGGGCAAAGCAGCCTACAGGACAAACACATATAACGGTAAACACACAGCTTTACGAAACTAGCCCTTTTCAAATCAACCCTGAAAAATGCATTTTTTTGTCTTTCATATGTCTACAAATTTCTCAAATTAATGAGGTCATTGACTTAAACACTTATTGTTGAACTATGATTTCTATACCAGTTTGGGGTTGTCAAATCTAATACTGGCTCTGCATATCAGCTTAAAATAAAAGTAATTCACCAGATGTTATATTAATCATTGAATTACATATTATCCAGGTGCTAAACGTAAGGGAAGACTAAGACATAAATCCCATCTTTGAAAAGTTCTTATCCTGGGGTTCTGGTAAATGTTTAATAATTGCCTCTCTAAAAAATTGTATCACACCCATACATACAAATCATTGAATCTTTTACTGACATAAAGCACATGATTTACAAATAAAATAATTTGTTATAAATTCTATAAACATATAACTTCAGTGTGACTTGCAAATTTTTTTTGCAAAATCCACTATAAGCTTTTATAATTGTATTGCCACAATAGAATTCCAATATATCACAGCACAGATAAATGCTTATTATCTTATTCAGCAATGATATCAATGTTATTGATAAACATGCATGGTTCTGACATGACTGTTACTTGACATTTTTATTTATGTTGACCAGTAAAATGGAAGTGAAATCTCAAATATCTATGTCAGAATTTTACATGTTTCTTAGTGATAGGAGCAACTTTGTTCTGAATTAGACAACAGTTTTGACATATTGGAAGAATATTAACTCCATTTCATGTTCCATTTATAATGTAAAGGCTATAGGGATAACACACTTTTAAATAAATAAAACGTTTGGAATTAGATAGTGGTTTTTGACATACTAGAAGAATATTTCCTCAATTTTGTGTTCCATTTACAATGTAAAAGCTATCAGCATAACAAACTTTTAAATAAAATCTGCATTATTAACGTTTTCTCTATAACTTTTTAAGGTCTAGATAATGAATAAAACAAAAAGTAAACTCCTGGCTTTTAGCATTTGCCAAAAGCTATTCACAAAATGTTCCATATTAAAAACAAAAACAAAAACACTCTTACCATAGGTGATTTTAAGCTGTCACCATGTTACCACTGAAAACAGATTTTGGAAGAGGTGAACATTAACACACCATTATATGTTATTTCCACTAAACAGATACACTAGACATAACTAACTGAAAGGGCACAGATTCTAATAAAATAGATACGGATGAGTTTCTATTCAATATAACCTATTACATTTTAAATTTATGTAATTCAATTGTTTGATAATGGCTGTGCTTAACAATCAATTTACAAAATTCCCAGAAGTTTTACAAGAAATCTCGTGAGACAGTATGAATCACCTCTAGTGATCACTGCTCTTGGTTACTAAAGAATATCAACAAATGTATATGCAATTGAAATGTCAAAGAAAGCACTCTAAGGGTACGTAACAGGTACTATGGAAGCACACTGGAGGAATGCCTAAATAGGTCTGAGGATTTCAAGAGGAATTTCTCAGAAAATTTGTTATTTGAGATTGGTATTTCAAGATGAATAAGTGTTTTTCAGGTGGACAAGCAGCTAAATTGAGAGCATTCTACTTCTAGGTGCACCAAGTGTGAATGCATGGCATTATGAAAATAAATTGTGTTTTGTGAGCTGCTAGTAGCTGGATCTAACCAAAGCACAAAATATCCAAGAAACAGTAGGGAGTTGGGCTAAAGAGCAGAAGGAGTCGGGTCTGAAATCTTTCCTATAACATGGTAAAGGATTTATCTATATTCAGTAAGGAAAGAAGCCATTGAAGGTTTCCAGGTGGTAGAATGACAAAATTTAAATAAACATTTTATTTGATTCAAAAATAAAAATTACCAGGGCTTTTTAGAGTAGGCAACATTTTCCTACCTTTTTCCTGAACATGTTATCACAGTTACTGTAAAGTCCCTGAATAACTTTAACATCTAAAATACCCATGAGTATTTTTTTCTCTTAATTTTTATTGATTTGTTATTGTTTTTAACACGTCTTAGGGTTTTTCACTGACTCTTGATATTGTGTAAGGTAATTACTGAAAGCTTTGGCAGATGGTATTTTCTTTCAAAAAGCATTAAATGTTTTCGTGACAGGTCATTAGGATAGCAACAGGTAAACTTGTTATCATTTAGAGTTGGTTTCAGGCACCTGGATATATGGGTTTAAGCTTAGACAGTCTGAGCTAGATATATGGCTCTGGTAGCCATCAACATATACATGGTAACCATAGTTGCCACCATTGTGCACAGTGTCCTCTGAGAGGAGAAACTTAATTTACTCAAAGCTCTATGTGAACACAATGTCCCAAGCACTATTTCTTCTCTAGGAGATAAGGGCACAAGGTCACCTATAGTAAATATATTTTGTAGAGAAAGACCCCACTTTATAAAAAAATAAATCAGTCTTGAATTTACCCAAAAGATACTGTTTATTGAAAGGCCTTATTAAATCCCCATGCCAATGTTTTTTGTTTTAACAGAGACCTGTGAAAATTTCTGGCTCTACTCTTATGTGCATTACTACCCCATAGATACAGAATCAAAAAGTTCCAAAAAAAAAAAAAAAAAGGAAATGTAAACAGAATATATGTTAAATTACCTCTAGATAGAGCTTTTCTAGTCAGCATTTGTTTATGGAGGCTAAGGTTTTTGAAGATTGCTTGTAATTCAGAAAAGGGAATCATCACAGAAAAATAGTTTAGAAACAACTCACCACGTATTTTAGAAAATAAATATGTTTTGAAAATATTGTATCACTGACAGTTCAGCTAATTTTAAAAAATAGTTTCAACTTTGATTTTAGATTCGGGGGTACATGTGCAGGTTTGTTACATGAATATACTGCATCATGCTGAGGTTTGAGGTATTAACAGTCCTATACTCAGGTAGTGAGTATAGGACTCAACAGGTAGTTTTTCTTTACCTATTTAAAAAGTGAAGTAGGACTGCAGGAAATTGCCATTTCTGTAAGTCAAAAATTGTCAAATATTGGCAATTTCCTAAGGTTCAACCTAATGCTAATATTAGAAACTGTGAAATTGACATGTTTTTGTCAACTAAAGAGAACAAAAGTGTCTTGTGATACCATTACGTTATTATGGCTTCTAGAAGAAAATCATTTAGAAATTTAATGATATGAAATGTCATCCTGACTATGTTATATACTCATTTTCTGTGAAGACTCTGAAAATTAGCAGGTCTTTGTGACAAATTTAGGATCTGTTCATTATTTTCACTTTGGATTTTATTTTCTATAAAAGGTTAGCAGGTATTAAAATAAAATATATAAAGGGAAATAATGTGGAATATTCTTATACAATTGAGAGAAAAATAAAGTGAAGGAAGCAATATTAATCAAGAACCATAAAAGATTCTATAATTAAGTAATTTAATTATGAGGGTCAAGATCATAAATTGTCATTGAAAACTAAAATGCTAGGCACAAAAGCAATTTGCAAATGCTGTCCTTTAATATTATTGAATGTAATTAACAGGTCAGATAGGAACTTCACATTTAACTTAGTTTATGAAGTGTGGCTAATTCTTAAAAGCATGCCCCTGTCTTAGCTTATTTCAACCATAAAATGCATAGCATGTCTACTTCATATATGATTTCTTGTTACTACAAAAACACATCATTGTAATGATTAAAAATTTAAAACATAAAATATTACTAAAACAAAAACTAAATGTACAATGCCAATGTTTTGATAGTTAATATTTCTTTAGGATGGAAATTATTCATGCTTGTATATCCTCTTGACCACAGGTTACTTATATTTTTCCATGTCTTTTTTTCTTAAAAATGTTACATTCAATCTCTGATATTGTTACATTCTATCTCTGATATTATATAGATGAGTTTTGTATAAAATAGGAAACATTTTAATGGTATGTTTCATCTCTTTTTTCCCACTGAAAGAATAACTCGGTTGCTGGCTTGGGAGAATATGGCAATGGTTCCTTCCCAGTATGTAGCTTTTGTTTCTGAGGCAACATGGTAAGTCATTATGTGTTCAAAATCCTACAAGAGCATAAAGGCCCATATCATCAATGAGGTCATTACACCTAACAGTTTAGCTCTACAATTAGGCAATATACTTTTAAGCCTTTGAAGTTTTCTATAGAAATCAGTAAACCAGTCTTTAATAAAAGGAAGTTACTCTGCACCTTCCTTTCCTTTGTAGATTGTAGCTGTTAAACAATTTTCCCTTATATATGTACACTCAATATGAAGGCTGAAAATTGCACATTTCTGAAATCTAGATTCTTTGGAAATTTAAGGCTCTCAAGAAACTACAAGACATCCTCTGACAGCCATGCATATGTAACCCAGTATTCTAGATTAACAAATTAATCTCTGGGGAGGCTAATGCTAACTTTTCAATCGGCCCAGTAAAATCAAATAACAAACCTCAAGAGACACATGTGGAAGTTTTATATATTTAAAAATAAAATTAATAATATCCCATTCAAGGGAACACCATTCATAATCATACAAAACAAGCATACATTGGGAGCCGAGTAAGTGCCAGTACATAAAGCACTTATATACACAGCTACGTTGTTAAAACCAAGATCAAGCCTATATGACATATTCTGTATCTTTACACCTACTTAACAGATTAGGAAAATGAGAAATATTTCACGAGACCATAGCCCACTAGGAAGTGTCGTGGCTACAATGTAAACTCAGTTCTCTGGCACTGTCTAGTATTGAATCTCTAGTTGCCTTACTAAAGGCCTAATATCATTAATGGCAAAATATAATTCTCATTTTAAATCATTTCAGTAAGTGTACAATGGTGGCACAAACTCAATTTGGGATTTTACTTGTTGAAACATGTACTGAAGAAAACTGAAAAAACATTTGGGGTTAGTAATTTTGTATTATATTCATAAAAATCAGTGTTTTATCTTTAAATTGATATGCGATTTTATAAGAATATAAAAAGTGAAGAACTATGCATATCTGGGATTTTACTGTACTTTAAGTTAACAAGCTAGTTTGTTACTTGTCATGGATGCTGACAGAAAACATAACTCTTGGGTCAGAAACAAGGGACTTTATTACTTTTACAATAAAGTAAAAGTCAGAGCTTCATATTGGCTTATCCGACACCCCATGGAGCAATGCAAGTGGGTCCAGGTTAGATGCTTGTACACTCAGTGGGTTGTATTGCAAGGTAGGAACAGTGAGCTCATGGAATATTTAAAGTAAGTGGAAGCAAATCTGCTCTTATTTTGGGGATGGATACTAATCCGTTCCTTACGTTGCTAGCTACAAGAACAGTCTTGATAAATCACCCAGGTAAAGAGTAATTAGGGACTTGTGTGCCTGGCATAACCAGCCAGAAAGTGCTAGGATGCTCAGAGTCCATAGCAAATTGTGTCTCCTACCAAGAGATGAGTAAAACATATGAAATCTGGGAGTCCTTCAAAAGTGATTTGCTATATTGAGGAAGGAAGGGCAGATGGGTATACTGTATCTTTATTTATTTGATATTTGAAGGCTAGGTAAGCAGATGACAATATGTCCTATACTTTTATCTCTTCAGCAAAATTTACTGTTTTATCCTTTTTTATTCTGTATTCCTTTTTCTTCTAGAGTTCTATATAATGTTTTACCCAAGTGGAGTACCAGCCAGTAATCCTTTCTTACTAGGAGAAACAAACATGGTCAGTTGTGAGATACTATCTCCTAAAAAAATAGCTACTTTAGTAAGATTACCCAGTTCCTACAGAATGTTAACATTTTCTACCATAAGTTTCAAATCTGTTTCCCTTTTTTTGGAAAGAATTACTAAAAATTGATTTCCATAGTTTCTCAAGTTTCAAAGCTCATCTAACCATTTTTGGTGATGAACACTATTTAATGTGTTTTAGGTTTCTAAGTAGGTGACTCGTAATCATAGACAGCTGCACTAATTTCCTGTTAAAAAAGGAAGTGATATAATAAACACAAGTACAATGTAAATGCTAGATGAAAAAAATAATAAAACTTGGTGCCTGGTGGGGACAAACTAAAATTTGGCTATTTAGAGATTGCTTCTAGGCTGTACTTAAAATGAGATATCCTGAAATATTTTAGTTATTTTTCTCTAGTATGACATGAAAGGATGTCAACTTTGTAATTTTTGAAAATATTCAGTTGTCAGTAGGTTTCCTTCTACTCCCATTTTTATAAATTCCTTTTAACACCTTAGAAATTAGACAGCAATCTGTTCAACCCAGTTAACGAATAGAACTATGACTAATGAAAGTGGAGTTTAGAGTAATGAAATGCTAGTTTCCTAATGGATCTATTTTATATGAATACTTTATGTACTTCATATTGTAGGCATCCTTACTGCTTCAGAAGAGAGCCCAAAGCAAATGCTTTAAAGTCAGTGGCATAAGTTTCTAACGCCTTCTAATGCTCTCACCAGAAAGAGACAGATAAAATTGTTAATACTGTCATAACTAAGAACAGGATTAAGTTTTAGAAGACATCTCATGTTTTTCAATTCTAAGTACAAAAAGGTTAAAGATGAATACAAGGGCAGAGGCATATCTTACCATATTTCTAATAGAAATCCAATAGACTGGCCATACAAGAGAGTTGTGGTTGTTGTTTCTAAAAGAGTTTTTATTGCCATTTATCTATATAGTGACTTGAGGTGGCTGCTGTGTGATTTTTATTTTATTTATTTTATTTTATTTGTTCACACCTTTAAGTGGGGTTAAAAATACTTGATAACTGTTTTCTGCTTAACTAGATTGTCCTTAAGGGCAAAGAGTGCATGTCTAATATTTCTTTAGAAATTGCCCCATTTCCATTGTCCCACCAGTCCCTTAGACTTAGACTTAATGTTTTTTTTTCCCCAAAAAGATTTTATTTTATTTTTATTTTACTTAAAGTTCCGGGATACATGTGCAGAATGTGAAGATTTGCTACATAGGTATACATGTGCTATGTATATGGTGGTTTTCTGCTCCAATCAACCAGAAGACAGATAAAATCGTTAATGCTGTTAAGACTAAGAACAGGATCAAGTTTTAGAAAACACGTTTAGGTTTTAAGCCCCACATGCATTAAGTATTTGTCCTAATGCTGTCCCTCCCCTTGCTCCCACCCCTGACAGGTCCCAGTATATGATGTTCTCCTCCCCGTGTCCATGTGTTCTCATTGTTCAACTCTCACTTATGAGTGAGAACTTGAGGCATTTGCTTTTCTGTTCCCATGTTAGTTTGCTGAGGATGATGGCTTCCAGCTTTATCCATGTACCAGCAAAGGACATGGACATAGTATTCCCTGATGTATCTGTGCCACATATTTTTTGAAACAGAGTTTCCCTTTTGTAGCCAGGCTGGAGTGCAATACACAGTCTCAGCTCACTGCAACCTCTGCCTCCCAGGTTCCTGCCTCAGCTTCCCGAGTAACTGGGATTATAGGAACATGTCATCACACCAGCTAATTTTTGTATTTTTAGTAGAGACAGGGTTTCACTATGTTGGCCAGGCTGGTCTCAAACTCCTGACCTCAGGTTATCCATCCTCAGCCTCCCAAAGTACTGGGATTACAGGCATGAGCAACTGAGCCCAGCTGCCACATTTTCTTTATCCAGTCTATCATTGATGGGTATTGGGGTTGGTTCCATATTTTTGCTGTTGTAATAGTGCTGCAATAAACATACATGTGCATGTGTCTTTATAGTAGAATTTATATTCCTTTAGATATATACCCGGTAACGGGATTGTTGGGTCAAATACTATTTCTGAATGCTATTTCTCAAATGATAATACTCAAGATGGATTAAAGACTTAAATCTAAAACCCCAAACCATAATAACCCTAGAAGAAAACCTAGGCAATACCATTCAGGACATAGGCATGGGCAAAGACTTCATAACTGAAATACCAAAAGCAATAGCACAAAATCCAAAATGGACAAATGGGATCTAATTAAACGAAAGAGCTTCTGCATAACAAAAGAAACCATCATCAGAGTGAACAGGCAACCTACAGAATAGGAGAAAATTTTTGCAATCTACCCATCTAATAAAGATTTAATATCCAGAATCTACAAGAAACTTAAACAAATGTACAAGAAAAAACAACCCCATCAAAAAGTGGGCAAACAATATGAACAGACATCTCTCAGAAGAATTTATGTGGCCAAGAAACATATGAAAAAAAGCTCATCATTTCTATGTGTTTTATGTTGCTATTTTAGGACATAAACCAAAGTTTAAAATGTTGGCATCATCATGGCTGACCTCATTCAATTTCTCAAATTCAACCTGTGTTAGGCAGAGAATCAATTAGGAAAACAAAAACAAAAACAACATAAGAAATCAACATCCCATAATGATTCCTGCCATACTTCTTGGTGATATGTTGGTTGTTGAAAAAGATTTTTATAGCTTTAAATAACAGCATGATGATAGGATATGCCTATTTAATATTTTCAGATTTTTGCCCTGAAATACTTCAGTTCTGATCTTTTGTAATATTTTTTTTCAATTAGAAGGAATTTAAGAACCTATCACTTACATTGATAAATATAACGCAATTTTTACATATTATTTCACACAACCATCACTTTCTAATAAATTACGCAGGACAAATCCATATCAAAATGAAGTAATTAATTTTGTATACGCCAGTTAAGTAATTTTCATTTTCATGGAGACTATTTTTCTATTATATGGTACCAAATGTAACAAAACTGCCTTTGTTATCCTGAGAGGAAGGCATTTCTAATTGTTTTGGGATTCTTATGACTAAAAGTATATTAACAATGCCCTAGTAGTCATCTTTAACCTCTAGTACATAAGAGTGAAAAGCATGAATTGCCTTCTAAAATTTAATCCTGTTCTTAGTCATGACAGAATTACGAATTTTTTTTCCCAGAATGTTGTTTTCTATTGTAGCAGTGCTAATTAACAGATAAAATGTAAATGTTCAGGTTAACTAAGTTATTAATAATAAAGTATTCTGATACTATTTGAATAGAGT